TGACAGTCAAAATCTGTGGCTACATTAGTAGAGCCTTGTTTGTGATAGGCATTAGTAGAGCCTATCAGAGCCTTGGAAAAAAACCTCACTAAAGTCAAGCAGGAAAACAATTTGTTGAAACATCAGCTGAAGCAGCAAGTTGCAACTCATTCAAATCTCTCTGAAGAACGTGATCAAGCAAGTGCTGAAGCCCTGAAAACCACAAGGGATTCTGCAAACAGGAGATGTATAATACAAACTTTGAATTGACCTCCACTTTCTGCTGTGATAACCTCCTGAGAATCATCCTGCTTATATTTTAAAAGCAGCTGGGTGGGAGAATATGGGATGACTGATGTTTCTTTAGTCTAACAGGACTAGGAGAACATGCAAACTGACAGTATGTCCCTTTCTATTACAGTGTGTAATTAGGGACCAGTTCCACTGAACAGAGCCATTCTGGATATACAATGAACTAGCCAGAATAGCTCTTTTGTATTATTTTTTTTTTTACCCAAACCACAGGCAGTGGTTCCCCAAGCCCAGAAGAATCAAGCAACTGACATTCTTACATATATTTTTGGCAAAGATAACGTCTTGGAGTCTACAGCCAGTGGCCTATAAAGAAACTTAGCTGAATAGTGAGGCCTTGGTAGATCCCAGCCAGATGCCAGAGAATCCAGAGCAGCTCAGTTGTAAACAGACTTCAGTAAAACCCACTAAGTTTAGCCAGTCAGGGCTAAAAATGAAATATGCTTCTTACAATACAGGAAAAACCCATATGGGACTTTATCCTGATAACTAAGGGTACACTGCCAGCTGCTAATAAAGGGCCTTCAAGTCAGATGTCAATGGTAAACTCTTGAGAAGTGACATGTACAAAGGGATTCTGACATGCTTCTTTCAACCTGCAGCTCAGCAGCACTAACCACAAAAAAAAAAAAAAAAAAAAAAAAAAAAAAAAAAAAAAAAAAAAAAGGCTGCCTCTGAAAAATGTTTCTGCTGTTTTTTTGTTAAATTACAAATCCTGTGTGCCCTGGAAACCAAGCCAACACCGCTCGCAGCACGGGACACTTGGGGCCGGGCATTCAGTGAGGAGGGCACCAGGCTTGATCCTGGGCGTGGGTTGGGAGGGTTCCTCCTTTTCCTCCTGGGGCTCAGGAGGTGACCAGGGCGAGGGAACCGACCCCTCACGGGGGCGACCTTCATCCGGCCTTCCCCACGCGGCACAGGGCTGCAGTGAGCGGCGGGTCCGGCAGGGGGCGGCCCCACGGCGGCGGGTGGTGCCTGGAAGGACTGCGCCGTGCTTCCGCCGGGGAAGGGGAGGGAAAGGGGAGGGAAGGAAGGGAAGGAGGCCGGGGGCCGGGCGCAAGGTGGTGGAGGCGGCAGTGGTGAGTGGAGGCCGGGCCTGAAGCCGCGGCAGGCCCCGGGGAGCGGCGGAGGCTGCCCCGGAGGCGCTACCCCGGCTGCCGGCGGCTCCTCGCAGCCCCCCCGGGGGCGGCACTGGGGGTCAGGCATGGAAAGAGCCGGTGGGGTGGGGGCTTGTCCCGCCCGGTACGCGAGGGGAGCGAGGCTGGACTTGGGGGTGGGGGATGGCAGCGAAAGGACGGGGAGTCTGCGGCGTAAACGTGCTCCCTTCGAGCTGCTGAAGTGTGCTTATTTTCTAGGGAAAATGGTTTCCGAAAGCAGTTCGTTCATTAAAGGTGTGGTGTTAGGAGGAGTCTTCTGCGTGCTGGTTACTCTTCTCGGGCATTTTAAGATGGGTCATGGGACTAGAGCACATCACCACGAGCACCATCATATCCAGGCTCCCAACAAAGAAGATGTCTTGAATCTTTCCGAAGATGAGCGTCTGGAGCTCAGTCAGAGTATCCGTGTTTTTTGTATCATCCTTGTGAAACCTAAGGACCTTGGGCACTGGGCTGCAGTGAAAGAGACATGGAGCAAGCACTGCGACAAGGCAGAATTCTACAGCTCCGAGAACATCAAAGTGTTTAATTCGGTAGTCCTTGACACAAATGATATGTGGATGATGATGAGAAAAGCTTACAAGTTAACATATGAGCGCTACAAAGATGAATTCAACTGGTTCTTCCTAGCCTATCCAACAACGTTTGCTATTATTGAAAATCTCAAGTATTTCTTACTGAAAAAAGACCCTGCACAGCCTTTTTACATAGGCCATACTGTGAAATCTGGTGACCTGGAGTACGTAGATAGTGAGGGAGGAATCGTTTTAAGCATTGGATCACTAAGACGACTTTCCCGTATTTTTGAAGACACTGACAAGTGCCCAGAGCAGGGAGGTATGATTTGGAAACTTTCTGAGGATAAACAGCTAGCAGTATGCCTGAAGTATACTGGAGTGATTGCTGAAAACGCAGAAGACTCAGAAGGAAAAGACATCTTTAATACCAAGTCAGTCAACACTCTCATCAAAGAAGCAATGGCTAATCACCCTGAGCAGGTGGTAGATGGCTGCTGCTCAGACATGGCCATCACTTTCAATGGACTGACCCCCAACCATATGCATGTGATGATGTATGGTGTTTATAGACTGAGACCCTATGGTCACACTTATAATGATGCACTCATCTTCTTGCCACCTGAAGGTTCAGACAATGACTGATGTCTTTCAGAAAGGACACAGAACCACAGAGTTAACTGTGCTCATTGTACAGACACTCAATTTTCATATGTGGTGGTACTGGTGTACAGTTTTTGCACAGAGATTTGGTAAAGCTCTTAATTTTAAAAGGGGAAGGAGAATGTTCTTTCTTAATCTTTTATACAAAAATGATTGGGCTTTTTTGACAGTGCTAGAAAGAAATAAAGGACATGTTGATGTTTGTGATAAGAGGAAATGAAGTTTATATGGGGGTTGTATTATCCAACTATTTATTAATGAAAACTCAGAAGAACTTTAGTCTGTTACAAATATATTTTTGCAAGATTTTGATTATATCAATTCTTTCAGGCATTTCTCAAACATCTTTATATCTTTCTAAGCTGTACCAATAAAACTGGCCCCAGATTTAGTCTCAAAGACTATTAAGTGATTTCCTTTACTCTGAACTACACATCAGCTTGAGCTACACTGATTATGCAGTGCAAAGGGTACACCCATCACTTTATGTAGTCTCCTAACGCAGTAAGAAACTAGCAGGAAGCAAACCAGCAAGAAAAGTCTATTAGGAATTTCCTGCAGAATAATAAGTGACCTTTGGACTGCCATTCTCAATCATACAAAAGAAAGAGATAACTAAATTTGAATAAATATTAACATGGCCAGGTAGCCTGTTAGCACAGGAGTAATTGCTCATTTAGAAGTATTTTATAAGCATATTTGAATAAAGGTTCTGTCTAGCAGCTTTCACTGTTAGTAGTGCTAATAGCTGTCAATGTAAATACTAACCAGCTTCCTTGTAAGTGGGAAGTACAGCTGTATTTACAGATATTTTTGAACACTAATATTCAGAAAGACCAATGTGCCTGTACACTCACCCTTTCTTTGTACATGATACAAAACAGCAATGTATAGAACTCTCCACCTTTTAAAAAAATTAAGTGCACTTGAAATCCCAAGTTTTACATGTGCTACCTGGTTACAACTCCATTCCTGCACCAGTCACAGTTAGGTGGTAATAAATAATGATGTTTATGCCATTTAAAATTCATTTATCTGACCCAGCCATTTCAAGACTTCAAGTAGCACAGAGATGCAATACCTACATCTAGCACAGGCTTTACTGGTAATAGAGTTACCTATAAAAGAGGTATTAGGTGAGGACAACTTTCTTTTGACACAGCATTTGGAGTATTTCATCCTATCCTTAGCCACGGTAAAGGAGAACAGCTGATGTGAAGTAGCGGACAGATATGAAGTAGCTGTTTCACAACAGGTACTTCAGAGCTCATGATAGTAGCAACTTCTTTTGTGCACTGAGCATCATTCAGGTCCTTGATTTTTTATTTTTTTGTAATAACAGGAAGAAAACTGCTCAGACCCCAGGCAAACTATGACAGCTCAGCTGTTTCAGAAGGCACACCTTACCTCCAGAGGTCAACTGACAGCAAGACAAGCATGCACATAATTGCTGCCCAAACCTCCATACAACTGAAATTACTGTTTCTAACAGCTTTCAGTATATTTCATATACAATTCAAGTATGACTTCACTTTTATCTTCTTACAGAGTGATATTCAAAAGGCTGGGTCCACAGTTGGGTATACTCTGAAACAAAACCTGACAAGGTGAAAAATAAAATTTTGATTTCAAAAGATGTTTCTAATATCAGAAACAACTGTGATCCCAATACAACAGCAGCACTCAGAGCAGGTCAAGAAAAAAAAAAAGGCATTAACAATCCAGACCAGAATATACCTCATTTGTCCCAGATTTGAGAGATGCTATAGCAGAACAGGGGGAGGAAGGGACAGAAAAGACAGAAGAAGAAAAAGCAAACCATAGAATACATGCTAGTTCACCTTATACACAGAAGAACCACTGAGGCACAAACTGATTCCTGTTATAAATACACTAGTTTCTCGTTCGTGCTAAGTCTTTGGTATGCATAAAAACATCTGCTATTATTCTAAAGGGACTGTGTGAGGTTTGACCAAACTTTGTGCAAAATGTTAATCTCATTTTTTGTATTCCTACATAGTTTCAGACATACCCTGTAATTTTCAAGAGTAGCCTTCTTGCAAATAACTTTACAGAAGAAATCTAGAAGTAGCACATGTTAAGTAATACATTTTCTCGCATGTTGTGTTTTAACATGTTAAGTAATACATTTTCTCGCATGTTGTGTTTTAACTTCTGAATTAGATTGAGAACACCTCTGCCGCTATCTGCTGTAAAGGTCCCAGAGTGCAGAAATTAAACATGCAGAACAGCACCGAGACAACGCACTGCATACAAAATTAAGCTCTAGGATTAATGAAATATAAGTGTTAGAATAGAGACTTGAAATATTAATAAATACTTCCAGAGACAGAGTTATCAGCAGTAGACCTTAGTTTCCTTAGTTTATTAAATAATTCCATGGCACAGGCTGTTTTCTATTGGCATAGCTTTGGGTATGCAGTCAGTAAACAAAGTCAGATTATCCAGGCAAACACCGTGCTCTTTAACCAGTTCTGTAGATGTGTAGATGTATGTGCACGTGGCAGTGCACACAAGCTGCCATCTCCCACCTGAAGAAGCTGCTCCTGGCTACACTGATAACTAGGTTTTGCTACTGTGCTTTTGTTGAACAGTGATTTTGTTCCTACTCCTAAAATATGAAGGCAAACAGGGAGTAGAGCATCATGCACCAACTGGCACATGCTCCATTTGAAGTATGCCCACTGTTGCTGTAAATTCCATTATAAGGAGAGTGATACCAAACAGTATTTGTCAGGTAGAAATCAGAACATAATATATATTCTTAACATATGAACTAGCATAAAAGAGTTTATAGTCCACATATGACTTTATAGGATTTATGAACTTAAACGTATCTTAAAAAGAAATTCCTGATGTCAAATATTAAAGTTAATGCTGTTAATAAATTAAATTAAAAAATAAAAGTTAAAAAAAAGATCTCTCCACATTCAAGAAACAGGTAAGCAAGTGAGATGTTAATCAGAAGAAAAAAATCTGGAGTGTTTGAGAGGTTTTAGAAACCATACTACTTATATTTCATATACACTCTAAATTAGAAGAGCATAAAAATGTAAATATTTCTTGGCTTTTTCCGCCTTGTTGTTCAAAATAGTCCACTCACAGTCCCTGCAGGATCTCTCCATCAGGTATCTTCAGTGACAGAAGATTCATGTTTAAGACAAAACAATTAAGAACTGTAATAAAAAGAAACCTAGAAAACTATTGTAGCCTAACAGTACTTTTGCATTCATTTATTTTAGCATAGCCACAGAACAAAATAATTTGTACATTCAGTCACATTAAAAACAAGGAATTACAAAGCAGTCCACATTTAACCTAAGTGCATTCCCTTGGAGTAACACAGTTCCATTTGTTTCACTTGTATGTCTTCATATGCCAAAGCCCATCATTTAAATAGTGGATATTTTCGATGCCAATCCCTTTGTTGACCTTCTCACTGTTGAGTACGAAAGCATTAGGTTAAAGATTACAGCAGTACTAGACTCCATATTTAAAGTAAAAAAAAAAGATGTACTATTTGTCCAATAAAAAGGGAGAAGCTACAATCTGCAAGTCATACATTACATATGGACAGGAAACATTGTTATCACTCAGCAATGTGAATCATGCTTAATAATGTGACAACATTTGCCTCCCATATTTTGTCAACCACCTTCCACAGTATTTTTTACTGCTTCTTTGTGGGAGAGACAGTTCCGAAGAAAGCCACCAGAAGGGTTGTATGAACTGTAGCATTTCTCTATCAAAGAAGCACAAGGGCTGTAAATGATACTTTCCCTTGTAGCACAAATGGAGGTGTAACAGAAAACAAGGCAAGAACACAGAGCCTGACATGCTCTGATTCCAAATATGCCACAGACAATCAAATACAGATGAGCTGGTTTGTTTCTATTTTCAGGTCATCTACCCACTTAATAAAGGACTACAAATGCTAAATTAATGTGGAACTTTCAACATATTGTCCTATATTGTTTGAGTCAAGTCAGCTCTTAAAAGCGGTTGTTTTGTACATCTGCACTGGATTTGTGTTTGTCTTTTTTCCAGTAGATTAATTCCATAGAAAAAAGTCTAATCTTGTCACAATAAACAAAACAATTCATTCAAAGACTGAAAAGTTTAATTACCCTGGAAAATTTATTTTACCCTATTTATACCAAGTACTCTATTGCTTACAGAACTTGTCCAAAGGTAATCAGGAAGGAAAATACTTCTATGTTAATTGCATTAATGCATCATGTATCATAATCATACCAAGTGACTGAAATCATACTGTATAAAACAGAAAACTGTGAAACAGTATCACAGAAAACAGCATGCTAACATGCTATATAGATCAATATCAATTAACTTTTCCTCTCCAGTTTATGTTGCTCCTTGTAAGAGCAGGACATTTAACTGCAAGGCTGCTGAATTTGAAGTTAGGATTAGGAATATAGATAATCCAGGCTTGCAGATCACTGCAGGTATAGGACTGGGACATAAATAGCTACACATTTCCCTTCTTCCTACATGCTCTCAATCTGTCAAGAACACTACAGATAATCCTGAGCAGCAATTACCTACCAGCTAGAGCTGGTGTAAATCCAGGCTGCAGCAGTCCCATTCTACCCCTGTCCATTAGGGCACATTGCCACCTCTCCCCCTTGTGCTCTCATTACTCCTTATGACTGCATGATGACTCAGTTCAGAAGATGATGCTGGTGAGAATTACTCCACAAGAAAAAGTGACTTGTTTTCATCAGAATCAGCTTTGTTACCCACACTACTGCTGGATAGGGTTGCAACCAAAGCAGCCCAGACCTACTGGGGCTACTTTGTATGATGCAAAATCATCTTGCTGCCAGGTGCTGCAACTTAAAACGGCAAAGTGTTTTAATTCCTTATAATTTAGCATTTATGCTATGAATAACTAACATCCATTTCAGTGTTCTGCCTCTTTTTCTTCTGAAGTAGTTTTCACTTGATGTTTATCCCCAAACAGACCTCCACATTTCACAAGAAGCTTAACTAAGCTACTAAGCACATCAGGCAGGAATGCTGCATGTGGGTACAAGGCAAAGAAAAAGAGAAGGCCATAGAAGAAGTGTCCAGCTGGTCAGCCAAGTACCAGCAGGATTTTAGTCTCTGTTACTCGTCCAGACAAAAATCACTTTAATGATGCTAACTCACACAGATCCAAATTACATTTCTTGCCCTGCCCAAGCAGCAAGTACTGTAACAAGTATTTCTTTTTTCAGCAAGATCTTTGAAGAAGTACAATCAAAGCACAAGGAACAGTGATGTTCAGAGGCACTGCTGATGTTGTGCATCTTAAAAATCCATATTTACATAACTATTTTAATTGCACAAACAAAAATCTAGGGAAGGTAATTCCTTGCCTCCTCTTCCTCTCAACTTAATATTAATTAACAAAGGACAGCTTGAATAAATGTCATACTTGAAAGAAATATGATACAACAGTGATTCAGTAACCATGACAGTGGTGCTTAAATTCCAAACTAACATAGGAATTATGACACGGGACAGGTTACATTTCAATTGTCACAATACTTACATGTCCTCAGCTGACATCTTCATTACTCCCACACATAATGCATGTTGCTTTCCCTCTGCCATTATTGCCTACAAGTTACCACTAAGGAAAATGGAAGTTCAAAAAAGTATAAGCAATAACAAAAAAAAAAAAAATCACTTTCCCAAAAGCAACAAATTCTCTAGTTGAATTGTTGCCCCTTTAGTAGTTGTAGAGCACTAGCTCTTGAAGATAAGCAAAATCACACACTGCATTTAACAATTGAACCACAGTGCACAGAACATAAAGCATGTATTTATGAACCTCAAATAGCAATTACAAAATAAAAAGATCTCCCATCGCTACATTCCATTTCTTCCTTTGTGCCTAGCAGAGAGATGATAGTCTCTCCCTTTCTAGAACAAAGCTACAACTATACATGAGATCATTTTAGATTCCAACATAGAGAATAATTGAGACAAATCTGAAAAAAATATAAGCATTGAAGTCAGACATGGCCTTTTCAAAGTTCAATAACATGTAATGCCAACTGCTCATCTTTTCCCTTAGCTTCTAAATAACAACAAAAGCAGCAGAGGTTGGTATTTGCTCAGTAATACAATTAGCAGAAGTGAATTAGCACACTTTCCTCCTTTTAGATACGCTAAAGTTTGCCAGATGCATGAAGCAAGTCCTGACTACAGCAGAGCTGATCCTAAACCTCTGTCCAAACGCCCTGAGAACAGGACCACATTCTTCTATAACTGAAGATCAATTGATTAAGACAGGTTACAAATTAGGCTGTACCTCATCTCCTTCCACAGTTCCAACATCATTGAGGAGCTCCAATTACCTATTAGATTAATAGCGGAGCATCCCACCTAATGGAGCAGAGCAGAATTAATTATGTGGGGGGTTGGAACATCACCGTAAGGAAAAGAAATTAAGAACAGTTTTCACCTTGCCAAGTAACATCTGAACCTCTGCAGGTCTTTTCAGATTGCTAGTTATTCCATTACATACCATTCAATTCCAGAGTAATTCAAATTACAACCAGCTGAGAACACATGAATAGAAAATTAACTTAGCAAGCAGTAATTCATAGATGAAGGATACAACAACAGTATCAACCGCAGCAGGGTAAAGTTTGGCTCCAGGAGATGTCAGGCCAGGGCACATTATATTAGCTCCACTTAGTACAAATTTAATGGCTCCTTTATCAACCTGCTGATGTGGTAGAATAAATGGATCTAGGAGGGGAAAGATACAGCATTACAATTAATACGTGAAGATGACAACATGAATAACTCATTATACCAAGTCAGTTTAAAAGGGGGCAATTAGATGCTTAATGTGCTGCAAGAGTAGGAAGGCTGAGAAACAATTACCAGAGCTCCTGCTGGGCAGCACTGTCCTGAAAGGACACAAGGACAGTTTTCCCTGATCAAATTTTTAAAAATATATAATATATATATATTTTTTTTCCTGAGAAACAGAGGCTGCAACTATCAGAATCAAACACTGGGCCTAAAGTTCCTGCTCACTCATGGAGCCCACACACTGAGTGAGTTTTAACGAGCTTCCCCCAAGAAAACAATTGCTCAAGTGCCAACAAAATGAGGGACCTTAAATCCCCCAAATAACATGTATAATCTCTTTCATGAAAAATAAAGACTTTTAATGTTAATGGAATGAAAGAGGCAAAGACAGCCAAAATTAGGAAGGCCATCAGTTCTCAAAGCCATTTTTCAAGCACGTACAACCTCTTGAAACATTTTGAATATTGAGACTTTGACAGAATAACACTTTTACTATCACCTAAACTCATCCAATCATAATAGAATTGAGCAGAACAGTAAGAACAACAATAAAAGTAAACTAAGGTATGACATTGGAAAAAGTACAAACCTGGCAGCCTAAATACCGAAGGGAGACAAGCATCCATTGCATCATTAAACTCACATTTAAAGACTATTTTTGCAGTAAGAACCTACAAGTATTTGAAGGCAGCAAGAAGGGTTTAAAGAAAGACTTGGAAGAACAAAGACAGGTCAACAGGACAAACAACAAGAAATTTAGACTCTGTGCTACAAAATTCACTCTGAGGAATTTTTGTGGGACTTTATGCAACTTGTTGTTTAAAAAACAAAAAGGTTAGATTATTAAATATACAGAATTACATTAATTCTGGCGGAATGCAAACCACATAGGCACCTAAGAAGGCCATGCAACTACAGTTGGAAAGGTATAGAACATTTTAAAGATCTGTTCTGTAACATGTATAGTAGGTTTAAAAAAAAAAAACAAAAAACAACACACAACCTATTTATACAAAAGCCTTCTTGAATCACGCACTCACCCCTCTCCCCACCTCCAGTCCTCAGCAAACTTACATTTGTGAAGCAACCTTAGTGTTGGGTAAAAAATCCCTTCTCTTTGTCTGAAGAACAGCAACTCCCCGTTCACAGTAAGGATTTCTATATGCTCATGACTGCAAGATAAAAAAAAATAGAAATGTAATTCTAGTAACTACTTAGTCCTTTTTCTGTTTAAGTTAAGTATTTTACTTTGGACATTCTGGTCTACCTTGGCACCTGAGAAGGCAGTCAACTATCAAGAAAGTTTAAACCTGAAAATATAGTCTTGTATGCCTTGAACACTGGCCCCATGCACTTTCTTCCCCTTAAAGATCCAGAGGCAGCCAACCAATTGTTCACAAAGATTAGCAAGAATATACTACACTCCAGTTAAAAAAAAAAGTCATCTAAACAATACATGAAAGCTCAAAATTAAAAAAAAAAAAAAAAAAAAAACTACTTGAACTATCCAAACAAGTTTGAGCTTCACAAAGGTGAATGTTTCCCTTCAACAAGCTAATTCCCAGAGCCACCGAATACACAATACATTCACCAGCATTTTTGTTTTCCTCAAGCATCCTACCAGCAAACCTTCACAAGCACAACAACCACGTGCAGACTTTCTGGTTTGGTGATAACATAAACTATTACCTATAAGAAATGAACCCCCTAAGTCCTTCTACTATGAGAAGTAAACAGAAGATTGAAGCAATCCAAGCACTTTTGAAGTGGAGGTTAAGAGGAAAGAAACTTACCATCGTACTATTTTGACAGGGTCTTTCTTTGGCATAATTTGGTTTAGCCATGGTTCAATAACAGGAAATTGGTCTAACAGCTGGTTCTTAATACCTTTAATAACTGAAGTCTTCAACTGGATGCAGTTTGATACGTTCTCCTTTTCATCAAATCTGCCAAGTGAGAGTATTTCAGAAACACATAACCTGCTGCCCAAACGGTAGCATATTTGAGACGCATTATTAAGAAACGGTTGTAAATCTATAGGGGAATTAACAGAATAACATCTGTACTGCTTTCATGAAGTTTAAACCTAAACCTATCCCCCTGAGAATGCCGAGCTGGGAGAGTACAGAGCTTCCCCAGCAAGAGGCTGGCTTTGTCCCTACACATCACGCATACCCCGAGACACCTCTCTGGTGTCCCACAGGGGCATTTCAGGGACTCACGGAGCAGATTTTGCTGACAGCACTCCCCACCCCCCCCACACAAGTAGGACCGGGCCCGGAGGACAGCGTGCCCGCGGGCGGCCCCCCTCAGTTTCCCGAGCGCGGCCCCACTCACTTCTTGAACATCCTGGGGGCGGCGACCGCGGAGCGGCGGTCGCCAGGCGGGAGGCGGCGGCACAAGCAGCCACGGCCTCACACGAGGAGCCGACGCCGTTCTCCCCACCAGCCAGAAGCGCCGCACGCTTTACGGCGTGTCGCACCGCCTCCATGGCAACGCAACGCCGCGCTGGGCGGGAGTACAGCTCCCAGGGGGCCGCGCGGAGATTCGGCGCATGCGCATAGGGGGAGGCGGGTAGGGCCTGAGGGGTCGGCTTAGGGGTGGCGGTGAGCGCTGGAGCTGCTGTGTTCCCAGGTAATAAATACATCGTTCCGACACGAAACCAGAGCCATAACTATGAACATCAGCCCTTCATACCTAATAATATCAAACACAAAATGAAAAAAATATCTTTCTTTATCTCTGTGAGGAGCAGACGCAAATGGTTTTGCTCTTTATGCAGCTGACTGCTGTAAAAGCATACAGACGTACACACAGACAGACAACAGCCCAATTTCATTTTAGAGCAACGGAAATGTTATCACAGGCATAAAGAAGACAAAAGGTCATCGTTTATAATAACCCAGACGTCAACTGGGATCACCACAGGTGCAAGTCCAGGAGGTTCACAAAGCGCCTAGATGATAACTTGGTGCAGGTGCTAAGGGAGCCAACTAGGAAAGGTGCTGTCTTAGGCCTGTTGCTGGAGAACAGAGAGGGTCTTGTGGGAGACATGGCAATTGGCAGCCATCTTAGTCATAGTGACCATGAAGTGGTTGATTTTAGAACTTATGGCAACAGAAGGAAAACTGCCACCAAAACTCCAGCCCTGGATATGGGGAAAGCAGACTTCAGGCTGCTCAGGGAACTAGTCAGCAAGGTCCCCTGGGAAGCTGCTTTTGAAGGCATTGGCGTCCATCAGTGCTGTTCAATCTGTAAGCACTGCCTCCTAAAAGCACAAGATCAGGCAATTCCAAAATATCAGAAGGCAGGCAGGTGGGGCAGAAGGCCGGCCTGGCTGACCAGGCATCTTCTACTGGAGCTTAGGTGAAAAAAGAAAGTGTATGGCTGCTGGTAGAAGGGTCAGGCAACAAGGAAGGAATACCGGGATGCTGTTTGTGTTTGTAGGAAGAAAATTTGTGTGGGCAAAGCCCAACTAGAGTTGAAGCTGGCCATGTCTGTGGGAGACGATAAAAAAGTTTTTTTTAGATATGTGATAAGAAAAAGGAGAACCAAAGAAAACATAGGTCCAATATTGATGCGGAAGGTCTCACAGACAATGACATAGGCAAAGCAGAGACATTTAATGCCTTTTTTGCCTCTGTCTTCAACACTGATGATGGGCTTCGGGACCCAGGGTGCCATGAGCTGGAGGACCATGGCAGTGGGAATGACAAACTCCCAACCGACCCTGAACGTGTGTGGGATTTGCTACTCCACATGGATCCATACAAGTCCATGGGTCCGAATGGGATTCATCCCAGGCTGCTTAAAGAGCTGGCTGACATCATCGCGGAACCTCTCAATTATTTTTCAACAGTCCTGGGAATCTGGAGAGGTCCCAGTAGATTGGAAGCTGGCAAATGCCAATTTTCAAGAAGGGTAAGAAAGAAGACCCCAGCAATTACAGGCCTGTCAGTCTCACGTCAGTGCCTGGTGAAATTATGGAGAAGATGATCCTTGAAGTTACTGAAGCGCACCTGGGGGACAATGCAGTCATTGGTCCCAGCCAACATGGGTTCATGAGGGGTAGATCCTTACTAACAAATTTGATTTCCTTTTATGATAAGATCACCCGTATGGTGGACCAAGGGAAACCAGCTGATGTGATTTTTTTGGACTTCAGCAAAGCTTTTGACACGGTTTCCCATAGGATCCTACTGGACAAAATGTCCACCATACAACTTAACAAAAACATCATACAATGGGTGAGCAATTGGCTGACAGGCAGGGCTCAAAGGGTTGTGGTAAATGGGGCCACATCTGGCTGGCGGATGGTCACCAGTAGGGTCCCTCAAGGCTCCATCTTAGGGCCAGTCCTCTTCAATGTTTTTATAAATGATTTGGACGTAGGACTAGAAGGTGTTTTGAGCAAATTTGCCGATGACACCAAACTTGGAGGAGTTGTGGACTCGGATGAGGGTGGAAAGGCCTTGCAGAGAGATCTGGACAGATTGGAGAGCTGGGCGATCACCAACCACATGAAGTTTAACAAAAGCTAGTGCCGGGTCCTGCACCTGGGACAGGGCAACCCTGGCTTTTCATACAGACTGGATGGCGAGACACTGGAGAGCAGCCCCACAGAGAGTGATCTGGGGATTGTGGTTGACAGCAAGTTGAATGTGAGCCAGCAGTGTGCCCTGGCAGCCAGGAGGGCCAACCGTATCCTGGGGTGCATCAAGCACGGCATTGCTAGTCGGTCGAGGGAGGTGATTGTCCCGCTCTGCTCTGTGCTGGTCTGGCCTCACCTCAAATACTGTGTGCAGTTCTGGGCACCACAGCACAAGAAGGACGTTAAACTGTTGGAGAGTGTCCAGAGGAGGGTGATGAAGATGTTGAAGGGCCTAGAGGGGAAGACGTATGAGGAGCGGCTGAGGGCACTGGGCCTGTTCAGCCTGGAGAAGAGGAGGCTGAGGGGAGACTTCATCGCAGTCTACAACTTCCTCGCGAGGGGGAGTGGAGAGGCAGGTGACCTATTCTCTGTAAACACCAGTGATAGGACCCACGGGAACGGTGTTAAGCTGAGGCAGGGGAAGTTTAGGCTGGACATCAGGAAGAGGTTCTTCACCGAGAGGGTGGTTGCACGCTGTAACAGGCTTCCCAGTGAATCAGTCACTGCACCAAGCCTGTCTGAATTTAAAAAGCGATTGGACTGTGCACTTAGGCACATGGTCTAAACTTTTGGGTAGACCTGTGCAGTGCCAGGAGTTGGACTTGATGATCTAGATATTCATCTGGAGCTCAATCTGGCTACTGCCATTAAAGACAACAAAAAATATTTTTACAAATACATCAACGCAAAACGGAGGACTAAGGAGAATCTCCATCCTTTACTGGATGTGGGGGGAAACCTTGTTACAAAAGATGAGGAAAAGGCGGAGGTGCTTATTGCCTTCTTTGCCTCAGTCTTTAGTGGCAAATTGTTCTCTGGATACCCAGTACCCTGAAACACAACTGTGCACCGGCGGCAATATCGCACTAACCGAGACTCCCCGATCCCCATCCATAAATTAATTCGTCAATTGGAGAGCCAAGGAGTGATCAGCAAGACCCATTCACCTTTCAATAGTCCCATATGGCCAGTGAGAAAGTCTAATGATCTGAAACCAGGGCCCGGAGACTGTCGTGGTTTAACCCGGCTGGCAGCTAAACACCACGCAGCCGTTCGCTCACCCTCCCCCCTCCCTCTCTGGGACGGGGGAGAGAAATGGAAAGTGAAGCCCGTGAGTTGAGATAAAGACAGTTTAATAAGACAGGAAAATAATAATAACAAAATAATAATAACAATAATAACAATAATAATAATATGGTGATAATAGGGAAATAATAATAATATGTACAAACAAGTGATGCACAATGCAATTGCTCACCACTCGCTGACCGATGCCCAGCCTAACCCCGAGCAGTTCGGCCCCCTTCCCCCGGTTAGCCACCCCTATATATTGTTTAGCATGACCCCAGATGGTATGGAATACCCCTTTGGCTAGTTTGGGTCACCTGTCCTGGGTCTGTCCCCTCCCAGCTCTTACTGCACCCCCAGCCTGTCCGTTGGCAGGACAGAGCAAAAGGCTGAGATGTCCTTGGCTTGGTATAAGCACTGCTCTGCAACAATTAAAGCATCGGGGTGTTATCAGCACTCTTCTCATCCTAAGCCAAAACACAGCATTCCACCAGCTACTAGGAAGAAAATTAATTCTGTGCTAACTGAAACCAGGACAGCCTGTTCTCCCATGTGCCTGGTGACAGGACGAGGGGGAATGGGCTAAAGTTGCGCCAGGGGAGTTTTAGGTTGGATGTTAGGAAGAACTTCTTTACCGAAGGGGTTGTGAGGCATTGGAATGGGCTGCCCAGGGAGGTGGTGGAGTCACCATCCCTGGAAGTCTTTAAAGGACGTTTAGATGTAGAGCTTAGGGATATGGTTTAGTGGAGACTGTTAGTGTTAGGTCAGAGGTTGGACTCGATGATCTTGAGGTCTTCCAACCTAGAAATTCTGTGATTCTGTGATCCTCATGGGTCCCTTCCAACTCGGGATATTCTATGATTTTTTGGTAACTACTGAGTTATTTTTCCATTCCAAAGGAATTAATGAACTTTGATTCTATAGCTGCTAATTGGAACCTAATACGACGGCAATGTAGCTATACAAAGTAATATCCAGCTGTTCTACGTGGTATCATTTATTCCTATTGTAAAATACTAAGTCAGGAACACGGTAATAGTTAAAACAAAGGGATAGGAAAGAGCTGTGGTATCCGAGCTCACACGCTCGCTTGGGCGCGAACAGGAGCGTGCCGCCCTGACAGGCCGTCCCACACGGCGCCCCGCGCTCCCCAGAGCAGTTTCACGAGCACTCCCCGAGCCAGCATCCCCCAGAGACGCGCTGGCAGTTTGAAACCCAGCGGAACTCCCTCCGCAGCGCTCCGCCACCGCCGCAGCCCCCACAGAACGCGGGGCATCCCACATCCGCCGCCCGCCGGGCGGTCCCGCGAGCACAGGCGGCAGCTCAGCTCAGCTCAGCTCGCGCGGCCGCGTCCAAGGCCGGGCACTGCAGGAGCCCCGCAGGGCCCCACCCGCCCCACAGCGCCGCCGCCCCGCCCCCCGGGGACGGCCTGAGGGAGCCGCGGCCCCGCCCCGCCCCCTCCCGCTCCCGCCACGCGCGGCCGGCAGGCATGATCACTTCCGGTGGGTTAGAGGGCGGCGCGAGGACGGCGGGAGGGGACGCGTGGGGGGCGCGCTCCGGCGGGGCTGGGCCTGTAGGGACGAGGCGGTGCCTGCGGGGCCGGGGCGGCGCCCGCCGCATCCTCGGGCCGCCCCGCCGCGCTTCCGGGCGTCTCCGCCCCAGCATGCAGTGCGAGCGGATGTGCCGCCATCTTTAGGCTACCTCTCTGCCGTGTATTGACAATAACAAGCTCCGGGCCGGGCCGCCCGCCCCAGGCAGCGTCAGCAGCAGGCAGAGAGGG